TCTGAAAAACAAAGATTAATTTGGACATAAAACTTCGACTAAATGATTACCCATTCATACTCGTACATTTCTTTTAAGTTAAACATATCCATGTAATAAGGCATCTGACAACTAACTAAACATACTAGTATATAAAAATCTGATAAACACAAAGAAAGTATGCTTTGTTATACAGTTGTATTAATAAACAAAAAATTACAGGTGGTATTATATCTATATATTTCTGACAACCAACTTCAAACGTACCTTATCATATTTAAAAATTCCTCCAGGAAGGTATGGATCAAACCTCTTCGTCCCACCTCTCATTAAATCGTAAGAGATTGTCTTTGATGCTTTGTAAGGCTTGTAAGCAGCAGCTACTAAAATGTAATGTGAAATTCATTATAAGAAATGTAAATAAGTTAATGTATAAACATATTTAACAAAGGCATCGGAAGCAATTTAAAAGTGGGGGGGGGGCTTAACCAACAAAAACGTTGGGGGGAGGGGTTAACTCGAATTTTCACTGACTCTATTACGTCTATCTTTGCAAAAAAGTTGGGGGAGGGGGCTTAGACCCCCCGGCTCCGACGCCTATGTTTAATAAATCAATGAAAACAACACAGCATTACTAGTACTTAGATCAGTTTTCTTTTGCTGTATACATTTTCCAATGATTTATAAGTTGATATGTTAACTGAATCTTAATGCATTTTCTTAGCATTAATGGTGATAAAACTTACTCTTAATAATTCTTTAAAGGGGTGCAACCCTTTGTCCAGTCTTAGTGAACTGACCCATGGAATTTGTTTGCATCATTGTCCTGCATATCTCCGCCCTGCGTTGAAACCACTGCATTCACTAAAATGAGTGTTATATTTTATCTTGAAGAATGTGTATTTCAAAATTTGATTGCTAGCAAATATATAATCAAGCCTGAGATTGATTAATTAATTTTTCTCCTTTCCCTTCCAAAAGAAAATAGGTTTAACGTGGCATTGTATTCTGTAATACATAACTCAAATTCGGAAAAGTCTAACTAATCCCCTCTTAAGAATTATTTAACCCTGTCTTGTTAAGACCCCCTCCCACACCCATTCCTATTCCCAACTATGTTTTAATTATGTTTTGAAACCCTTCACACAATTTTAATACATGTAAATAAACCCAAGTTTTCAAACAATAAATCGCCCGCCTAATTCAAATGCCAATGAACTTTATAAACATATATATACACCTAAGTCTATAAGAATGAAAGATCTAAGATTCTAAATGCATATGTATTTAAAGCTACACTATATGATTGCTAAATATATAGGCAATGAATACTATTTAAAATTTAACATACCAAACGTTGATATTTGAAAGGTATTCCCCTATTCCTTTTCTTTGTCTTACAAGAATGCCGCCGGGTTTTTCAAAACTGTGATTATGTTGACCTATATAGATCACATGGACATAGTTTGCAACAAGGATCGACTGCATCAGCACTGGCCATGGCATCCCGCTGTGTCACTCAATTAACTCTCGATAAACACATTATCGAAGGGGGAACTTATTTCCCATAGCACAAATAAATGACTCCACTGAATTTTTTAATTCAGGAACTTTGTTGAACAAATAAGTTTTTGGAATTTTTTTTACTCTCCTTGTTATATATAAATATTATTTACAATAGTATAAAAGAAAAATATGAACACATTTCCGGGTTGTTGTTGTTGTTTTGTTTTTTTTTTAATTTTTGGGGGTCTAAATTTAATTATCACAACTCAAAATCAATCATAACTCAAACTTTGGAGCTATTTATAAGAAAACAAAAGTTTTATATATTTATGTACATGTATCGTCTTGCACTAAATAATTAAAAACTTCTTATGCTTGGAGTTGGTATTTCTGTAACGTTTTTACAATGTTTTGCAAACATTTTAAGACAATGTTGTATTCATGTTGTCTCCTAACATTTGTATTTCATGAAATTTATAATAATTATTACACGAAGTATTTTTTTTAATCATGCTATTCAATTTATAGCTGCGCGATATTTTATCATTATAGAAATTAATGTTAAATGCTAAATGTTTTCTCAAAACCTCCTTGCAACAGGAAAAAAATGTTATAAAAAACATTTTAAAAATGATTGTTAAGAACGTTTTTTAATAACGTGTTTACAACCAAAATAAAACGTTTTAAAAACATTTTATAAACGTTTTATTAAAAACGTTTTCAGATAACACCAATACAACGGGAATAAAATGTTATGAAAACGTTTTGTGCTACCTGGGAACGTCCTAGTATTGTGCAAAAATCAATATAATGTTAAGATAACTTTAGCAATGTTCCGTTACTGTTCCCTTATCGTCGTCCCAAGATAGATAAACATCCTGGTAGCTTACATTGTCCTTAATCCAATTACCAGGTTTGTTTATTCTTACGGAAAAGTCTTACACTTTCATATCCCGATTGGATTATAGGTCAATGCACTCTTTCATAAGTACATTGTAAATAGTTTAGTATGTTTATTTTCTGATTAAAATAATTGTCTCAAACCCTATAGGTTTACATTCGTCCATATGTAATTAGAAATTTCTGCAGGAAATTTCTAAATTGAAACAAGACAATTATTTCACCATAATTCACAGTAGAAAACAAATAATATTACGGAAGCACTGAAACACGGTTCACATGAGTAACCACACTATCTTCATATTGGTCATTCGATGTATAGGTGTTTCTACGATTTCCTCTTCTTGATGTTCAAATTTACATTCACTGATATATAGAGTTATGACAGGTTATGTGTTTTGGATTACACGATTATAAAAGTATATATACGGATATACACGTTTCCCGTTCTTCATTCCACATGGATGTAATGAGTTTTTCTTCTAGGTTTTCTCCTTCTTGCTGTTCAAATTTGTGCCACTGCTATATAATTATATTATCACAAAGATAAAAGTATATTGTGGATAATACAATTATAGTATATTAAATACGGATATATGTGTTTTCACTCTTTTTTTTCACTCAAATTGGATGTGTATTATGGAAAGAATATTGTTCGGTTCCAGTATTTAAGCAGGATTCTTGGTGATACAAGTTGTTTGCATAATCGGTTCATGGAATGGATACAATCCTGGAGATTAGATGAAGTTATCAGTATACCTTGTATGTCTTATTTAAGTTCAGTCTTACAGTTTATATTCTCGTACATCGGAATTTGTAATTAGCGAAAGTATTGATAAATCAGAAATCAGTTATATCATTAGTTACCAGCGTTTTCTTCATTTGTAAGCATCGTCTAAATGACTGCTATCACCTGTTGTATTCCTCATTTCCACGACTTCTTGTGATTTCCACAGCCGCTATACTAAAACATAAACACGGTACTATCCTCTTCACAATCGCTTTCTCTAAGCGAATTTAATTTAGGATCAGTAACATATGACGGACCCACCAACACTGGGTCAGACGTTATCTCCGCCCTTGGTATCAGACCAACGTCATAAAAAATTGCTTCAAATGTAGTCCACGATAAAATCCAATGTTTCTTTCATAATTGTTGCAATATTGTCAGGTTTGGGTCAAAACTTCAAAACAGGTTTAGTCAATTTTCGAATTCCATTAAAAATGTGACAAGGAATCTGATATTAACTTCATTACCATTTTCTCCTGCCTGCCATTCAAGATATTTCACTCTAGAAATACTTATAAGGAGCGTACAATACACACTTATACCTAGTATGTACATTCCATAAAGAAAAATTCTTATTTTTGTTAAATATTTCAATTTTGTTGTATTTTTGAAATTTTCTTTAAGAAACAGAAATAACTGAAGATAATGAAAACGATTTTGGACGATTTTTGTCCCATTTAAAATCAGTTAAGTTATCAACATGATCAATCTTTTGTTTTAACAATGCCAAATATAAGCCAAAATGTATAAATATTCCTAAATAATAAAATTCTAAGTAAATGCAGAATTTGGTGAGGCTACAGATACTTCTGGTTCAGAAAGTTTTGTTCTACCTTGCCACACTTCCCTTCCGCTTTCGACATCTTACAGTACTTCGCTGATCCTGGTCACGGCACCAAATTGACTTCGTAGGTGTAAACCAATGAAACCAAAATGATCGTCTTTTATAATGTACAATACATAATACTCATTTACGTATGAAATAGACAAACAGATTCAAGTAAACAAGTTATTCAATAAATTTGTACAAAATCCTGGAATTTTATAAAATAAATTGTAATTGAAACATAAACTTTAATAAGCTACAGTCCAACGTCCTAGTATTGTGCAAAAATCAATATAATGTTAAGATAACTTTAGCAATGTTCCGTTACTGTTCCCTTATCGTCGTCCCAAGATAGATAAACATCCTGGTAGCTTACATTGTCCTTAATCCAATTACCAGGTTTGTTTATTCTTAAAAAGTCTTACACTTTTATATCCCGATTGGATTATAGGTCAATGCACTCTTTCATAAGTACATTGTAAATAGTTTAGTATGTTTATTTTCTGATTAAAATAATTGTTTCAAACCCTATAGGTTTACACATCAGAATAGACCAAAACTGTGGTATAAACAAAAGTTTTAAGTTGATATTGTCAAAAATCCAAAAGTCCAAAATATTCAAGAGCTGAGAGCTAGAACAAAACAGAGTAAAACCGTAAGAGAGTCAACCAAGAATCCAAAAAATCGTAAAAAAGGTGGTCTCAAAAGTGCGGTTTTCCACCGTTTCTAGATCTACTTCTATTAGATAATAAAGTGCTCAACAAAAAACCTTAATTTTAAAATATAGTCAGTTATTGAATGCATATTTTTGTAATCTAGATAGCCATTCCGTCTTTTGAGTGAGACATCACATAGTACCAATATGTAAAATGAATCAAATCTTAGGTATTTCTGATAGAAAATATTTGCATGAAGCAACGCTGTGTAACAATCGTCAGAAATTATATACAGGATTTTCTTCTCTATGTTAGTGTTACTGAATAAATTAAGAATAGAATGTTACTGATTCTCCACCTCTTCCTTTGGAATTTCTATCAAGTAGCTCTCTCTTTCTGTCTTCGTGCTTGGAATCAAGGTTCCGCACATGTTCATCAGATCATCACTTTTTACTTCCTTTGGGATAAAGCTTGGTGTAGACACTTCTGCTAAAGATGGAATACGCAGACAGTCAGACATCTTTGACGAGAATTTCATTAGACTGGCCGCATCATTATCATTCTCCATTTTTTTTTTATTTTTCTCTACAGTCAGCTGAATAAGGGCGCAGTGTATAATCATGTCCATAAGAGAACTATCCAGAGCAGCCGTATCCCCCTTTTCCATTTCATCTGCAGGATCAAGGAGTGTTTTTATTGAATTGTCTACCTCCGAATGAAGTTTTTGTCCTTGTTTTTTAATATCTTCCCTAATCTTCTCGTAACTTTTCTTTTGAATGTCTAATGAAGACTGAAGGTCGGATATGATTTTATCATATGTCAGTGAAATGTAGCGTTTATATTCTTTGTTCTCTTTCTCCAGGCATGATTTGATCTCCTCGCAAATATCAGAAATTTTTTCGAGTTCGTGGTCAGCATGGTGTTTTGATGTAACACATTTACTACAAACTGAAATTTGACAATTTTTGCAGCGCAGTTCACATTGTTTATGTTCATGCAAATTACAGCAGGCATATCTAATGTGTCCCAATTCCTTTTTGAATTTGTACCCTGTAATGTCATGAAGAATTGAGGGGTCTGAAGAAACATGGTGACCAACACACGATCTGCAGAGATTTAGGTCACATGTTTTACATACAAGCTCAACTGTATATTTAATCCTTTTTCTTGAACAAAGATCACAATAAATAACATCTTGGGCAGTTGTACCTTTTGTCACCTTTGAACCTAAAATTAGATTTGTTCCATACATTCTGTCAGAAAGAAATGATTTCAATTAGTTGGTAAAGAAAAAATTCAAATGCTTTTAATTACACATGCATTTATATATGGAGAGAGAGAGAGAGAGAGAGAGAGAGAGAGAGAGAGAGAGAGAGAGAGAGAGAGAGAGAGAATTTCCGGGATCTTGAATTCCACTTCTCTTGGGATTCAGAGACCTGCATGCCATGTATTTGCTATTACGATTACAGTGTGTTGCATGTATATTATTTTTTGAGATTCCGATATGTTCTGAAGAAGGAAGATAGACATTAGCAGCTAGATCGTAGGCGTAGTCTTAGGGATTTCCACCACCTATGAGGGGTAGGGGCAATTTTTGTACCCCATCCTCCAACTCTTTTGATCTGAGTATATCCTAAAAAAATGGAGAATACTCGCAGTTAGAATATTATATCTCTTTTCTTCTTTTTCCTTGTTAAATACCGATATTCTACTTAGTTGACATTGTCCGCAATGAAGAAGAAATGATATTACGTCATATTAAGTAATAAGGTAGATCTGATCTGCAGATATTGACATTCTATCTGATACTGAGTCATGATTCATTGTTTATATTTTTTTGAGTGGGAAGGGGGGGGTCAAGAATGTGGAGGTTCCTGTCTATGTGGCGGATCGTATGTAAACCACATGGTGCGAAAACAAACATATACGGATTTTACATAGCCAGCGCATCCTCGCAAGCCAGAGGTCCTGAGTCAACACGATGCCATTGGACCCCTGGCATATTTCATTCAATATTCGTGGGCTTGCTTCTCTTATTGAGAAGCAGCAATCAAATTAAAGCTTTCATAAATAGTTAGATAAGGATTCAGTTGACACCTCAAATGCACGTGTTACAAGTTGTTTATCATTGAATGGCTTAATGTGATTGGTTGAGAAATAAGAAAAACAATAAAGATTTGTAATTTTTCCAAAAGATGTCGCTACAGTCAGCCCACAAATATTGAATGAAATATGCCAGGGGTCCAACGGCAACGTGTTGACTCAGGACCCCTGGCTTGCGAGGATGAGCCAGCGTCACTTTTATAATATTGTAACTTTCGATGCATCCACGAATAGAACTAGTACTACATGTATTTATGAATAGAACATTGAAATCGCGGCTGGGGTGGGGTGGGGTGTGTCACCAGTTGATAATTATTTTATTCATCATATTATGTAATATGTAAATTTTGGAAGCTTGCAATATTTATTTCAAAAAAATATTGGTGTTTTTTTATAGTAAAAGAAATTATCAAATTTTTACTAGATATATTGTTTTTTTTTTTTTTTTTTTTTTTTTTTTTTTTTTTTATTAAATAGAATAGTGTTCATTGATATTTGCTTTATTTGGGACAATATTCTTGCTCATGTCTCCTCCACCCCTTCTTCTTCAAAACGTGTTCGAGTCTCTCTATAATCATATATTTGTAACAAAAGTTTGACACTTAACACATGTTATAATGTATAGTGTTCACATGCCGTCACTAACTCCATAGTGAAATAGAATTCAATAGAATTCCTGCATATGCGAAGTTAGTTCGATAACAATATTTTCACACTTTTTCCCTAGAAATAGTAGCATTTTTTTTTTATCGATATACGACTATGCATACATATTTATTGTTGCATGTCAAAATGATAACGAAGTGTGAAAAAGTTGTTCTTTAACTAATAAATTCGAGGAAGCGGAAATTTTAATGAAAAGTCACATCCCACGGGATTTAGTAACAGCTAACGTTTTACCATGTGTACAGTGTCAAATAAGGAGAAAACGTTTTGAAAAAAAAGGGTTGGGGCGGGGGTGGGTGGGGGGATGGGGGTGGGGTGGGTAATAAGTATTCAGATTGTCCGCAATAAAGCAAATAACATTTTACATTATTCTATTTATAAGAAATGAAATATATGCAAGTCTAGTAAAAATTCAAAGTCTTCAAAAAATGTCTCAGTAAAAATCAATCTATTTTTGGAATAAAAATATCTGCTGGCAAAGTATACAAAATGAATATTGGGATGAGTAAAATAATCAATGATAGGTGCCCCCCCCCCCTTCATGGTCTCAATTGTTTATTAATTAATACATGTTTTGCAAGGCTATTCGTCGTTGCATCGAAAGTAACAATACTATAAAAATGATATTTGGTAAGTAAACTCTGTATATGTTTGATGTTGTGACACTATATGGTAAACAAAGGGTCCGCCAAATAGAGCGAAACTCCTTACTGGACCCCCCTTTCCCCCGGCCACACACACACAAATATAAACAGTGAATAAACACAGGATATCAGATAAAATCTTAATTAATATCAGCTGATCAGATCTAACGTCTTAATAACTAGAATGATGTCATATCAGTTTTACTTCATTGCGGACAATTAATCGGCGTAAGCATAAAAAAAAGACATTTGATTATCCAACTACAATATTATATTCGGGATATATTTACTATTCAGATCAAAAATGCTGGCACAAAAATAATGTTGACCCCTCCACTTTCAAAAGCAGTGATGGAGGCAGAAGCCCCCCTTGACTACGATCTAGTCGATCTAGTGTGATCTAACTGCCGATGTCACCCCCATTCCCCTTCTTTAAAACATTTCTGAATCTCAACAGTAATATATATATATATATATATATATATATATATATATATATATATATATATATATATATATATATATATATATATATATATATATATATATATATATATATATATATATATATATATATATATATATATATATATATATATATATATATTCACTCTATATTCGTATTACAGTAGCAAATACGTGGTATAGATGCTGTCTCTGAATCGCGAGTGAAGTGGCGTTTCATAAGAATTCCCGCCCCTGGAATTCAATACATGTAACAATATTATTTTCTTTTTTCAGAAATGTTTGAATATTTAAATCGATATAACTTTATACTAGTATTTATTGTTTTATATCGACTTATCTATATCGATATGATTGAATCTCTTGCTTTTATTAATATTTTCAGATCAATAATTTTTTAAGTAGTTTTAAAAGTAGAAGGAGTTATCATACTTTTTATGTTGAAAAGGCAATAACAAAAAGACAATGTACAAGTTATAACACAAAAATTGAAGACATCTATACGTTTAGTAATGCCTGGCCAAGTCCAACGTTGCAATTCTGACTGATTTTCATAAGAATTTTTTTGGTTTACAATAAGTTTATCTCGCACTATTCAGGTTGACAAAAAAGGTCATTCTCCACGAACGTTATGTGGAACCATCGTAAAGACACCATTGCTTTTTAATTATAAATCTATGTTCATTCCTACCATTCATTCCCGTTTTGCTTATGTCAGACGTTGGTGTTTGGAAACATACTGCTTTGCCACATTCAGGGCAAAATCTGTCGTTTGGCCTCAAGACATAACCACATTGTTGACAAATCATTTTGAAGATTCTTACACAAGGTCGACCCCTTCACATTCTACGCAAAATAGTTTTCTAGTCAAGGTAGTTCATTCCTCAGGCTCTCTAAATTAAGAACTAGATGATTGAAAATACTCACAAAATTGTCACTGAATTCACAAAGTAATGTGAATACAACCATGCAATTTTTCGACTGTTCATCATTTACATAATTAATCGAATTCTGAAGTGTAAACATCAAATCAAAAGTATATTTTAAAGAAAAGTGAATAAAAGCACCAATCATACGGCTTCTAACATTGACTAATCAATAGTCAATTTGAATATGTCAGACAGCACAAACATCCTGGGATACTATTGTCTTCAAATTTGGGATGGCAATATCACATTGATAACAATGTAAAAAGGGCTTATCAAATACTTGGATTACTTAAAAATGTAAATTCACTGTATCGGGGAATACTTGTCCAGGATGTATATTTCTTTTATTAGAGTGCTCGATCTGTAATCGGAAGGTCGTGTGTCCGAATGACTTAAGTCGATAAAAAATTGGAAGCAGCTGCTCCTTCGCCAGGCGCTCGGTACTTTGAAGTGAAAGTTGCGGGTCTTTCTGATGAGACCTTAAAAACTGAGGCCCCATCTCACGGTAGGCGTTGGCACGATAAAGAACCCTTACTGCTCAATGGCCCTGAGTGCCTTGTAGAGGTCTAAATTTAAAGCCCTTCACCCGTATATGGTGACATCTCTACATGGGTGAAAAATTCTCGAATGGCAAGTAAAAAACAATATTCAATCAATCAATCTTTTATTAGACCTCAAATGGAATATGTTGTTGAAGTTTGATCTTGACGCATAAAGGCAGACATTGAAGATCGTGAGAAAGTTCAATTATTTGCAGCTAGAGTAGTCACCAGTTGTACGCTTATTGCTTCAAACAAGAGGTCCTCGGGCCTTATCGGTCACCTGAGTATAATACAACAGTATAAAATAAAACTAGAGGTACTCTGAGGACTGAGCTCACAAAATGATACCCCCCCCCCCTCCGCGCTCCCATATGAGTATAATGGCAGAGTTCATGTTTTGCTATATGAAAGCCCAAATATCGTTCTGATCAAAACCTAAAGAGGGAGGTGCAAAATGGCACTGTGTAATAAAGATTCTGTGAAAGGTTTAAGGTATATCACTCGTCAGATTTTAAGAAATGTTTTATTAGAACCTCTAGCTTGAAAGCTATTGATTACAATTCAATTTTATAGCATATTTTAATTAAACAATGCAATTTACAAGATATTCAGTTTAAAAACTGCTCATAAAATCATAAAGAAACAAGATTTACGGGGAACTATTTCTTGTGGTGGATTTAGTAGTATTTGGTAGAAAATTCTTCTAATCTACACATTTGTTAAATATTTCTTAGAACTTTAGCCCTACTTTTTTTTTTACTCAGAATATTTTTCCCGTTATTATGTGCCAGGAATATTAAACATAGGTTTAAATTAATAGTTTATTAATACACATGTAATTTATTAATATTAAAATTTTACACATTCACTCAATATGCTTTGCCAAGAAATGAAGATATATTA